TCGGTGCTTTTTGTTAGTTTTTTGACACCTGGGTCTTTTCCCTATATTTGGACACTCCATCGTTCCCTCGGTCTATGCTTTTGAGTCCTCCTTTCTTGCTTGGTCTTTGTTCTCTGGACACTCCTTCCTTGCCTATCTTCAGTGCCTGGCTGCACCCTGATATCCATGGTGTCCCCTCTGTGTTTGTGTGACCTCCCACTCCACACTTTGTGGTTGGTCGTGTGCATTGCGTTCCTGGCTGCTACTTGGTCTGTATTCGGGGTTTTTCCTTGCCTATTTCCGTTTTTTCCCCCGTCCTACACATGGCTGTGTATCTGGGTCGGTGCTTATTGGCTATACTGATGTTAGGTGCTAGGGTGGGCCTCTGTCCATGTTCAGTTCTCTGCTTTTGGACTACCCCAGTGTTCATTTTTGGTACCGAGTTCTTTCATTTTTCTTTGTATCTCACTGCAGGCTTCTGTGTTGCACTGTCTGTGGGGGGTGGTGGACTTCTGGTCCACCGCTCTTGCCCTACTGGTTCCTTTTCTTAGGACAGGTAGCTGGGATTCCGGTCCTGGCTCCAATTTTTCTTTGTTCCTTTTCTGGGACGTGTGTTTTTGTTTTCCTGTGGTTCCCGTCTTGCGTAGTTCCCCTCCTGTATACATTGAGGACGCATGCATTTGTTTTTCCCTGCTGGAGCTGGTTGCGCTGCTCCTTTGGGTTGCAGAGTCGCTGTTTAGCTTCGCGTCTTGCGCTTTCGTTTGTGGTGCTCCTTTTCCTCGTTGGCCTCTGCCTGGGCCCTGGCTCCTTGGGGTTTGACCTTGTTGGTCCTTCAGGGGTCTGGGGGGGGGGGGTTCCTCCCAGACGGGGCATGTCTGCTCGCTCGGGTTGGTTCCTTTTCGGCTCGCTGGGGTTGGGTTCTGGTTTCTGGCGGCCAGGGTTTTTGCCTGCCTTGGCAAGACCTGCTGCTTTCCTCAGTTTCGGTCCTGTGGGTCTTCCTGTGGCTCCGCCTCTTTTTGCTGATCGGTCCAGCCCTGTTCAGGGCTGGTTCGTTCTTCCCCTTGAGTCTTTGTGTCTCGGGGTTTTGTCTCTAGTTTCTCGTCGCTTGTGTGTGGGCACTGGTGGCTTCATTGTTGGTCTCTCGCCTGCGTGCTTCGTCCTGGCGGTCCTTCCGGTTGTTCTATCAGTGCGTAGGGTCCTTCGGGCTCTGATAGGGTTGTTTAGTCTTTCCCTTCGGGGATGTTCCAGGTCCGTCTTCTGGTACTGTGTACTGTCGCCTTGTCTTGGGTGGCGGTGGCGGAGCCACTCCAGCTTGCCTTCGGTGTTGCTGTTCCTTCTGTTCCCCGCTTGCTGTCTTGGGCGTTGTTTCACCTCTGGCCTGCTCTTGCGTTTCCAGTGCCATCCTGGTCGTTGGCCCAGATGGTCTATTTTCTTTCTCCTCCTCGTTTTGGTCCTTTGGTTGCTGCTTGGTTGGTCAGGCCGGGGGGGTTTCCTTTGTTGTTCGGTTGCAGGTCTTTGCTGTTCCCTGCGTGTCTTGGCCTCTGGGGTCGTGGACATGTTTTGGTTTGATCGGGTTGCCTTCCTTCCCTCATTCCTGTTCTGGGGTTTGGGTCTGCGGGGTTGTCTGAAGGGTCTTTTAGTTTTGTCTGTGGTCTTGTTTTTTAGGTTAGGACACTTGGCGTCCACCTCCCGGATTCTTCTCTCTTTTCCTTATCTGTGGTGAAGTAGCTCCGGGGAGCCGACGGGGCTCCCCTCAGAAAACCAGTGTTGAATGTAATGAAACGCCATTTCTGGGTGAGTCCCGGAGGCTCCCCGGCATCCCTCCCTTCCTCCCTCCGGATGGCGGTGTTTTTTGCGTATTTTGACATCCAGCCTAAGAACTGCCGGTTGGATCGCCAGCACAGATGGTCTGGGGCTCCACCTTCCCCCACCCGGGGGAGGGAGGGGGGTTGCGCAGACAGCGGCACGGCGACGTGATGACGTCATGATAGTTTGATATTTTGTTTGGGGAGTTCTGTCTACTCGTTCGGCTTTTGATGCCAACATTTTCACCAGAATAGGGGTTTGTTTTGGGGTGCCTGTCCCAGTCGATGGCAGACACAGAATGATCCCAACCACAGGGGGGTTTCTATAGGCCATTGCTCCTCGTGCCTCTCTAGAGGGGGCCAGGTTCTGGCTCATGGTAACTGGTAGGTAAGAATTCCATGCACTTTGACTGATGCCAGAAAGTTATACATATCCATTTAGCCTGGATAGCTCCGGGGAGCCTCCGGGACTCAACCAGAAAATGGCATTGCATTACATTCAATGCTGTTTTTTTTTGTGCATAATCAACTAGCAAATGCTCCAACTTTGTCTAAATGATCACCAATGTAACTTGAAAAACAAGAAAATCAAAAATATTTAAAAAATTGAATATTGAAAACTTAAGATTTTCAAATCAGATTAAAAATAATATAAAATATCACCACTTGATCATTTGGTGTTATTATGCTCTCAGAATAGCATATGATCTTCATTTCATCAAATTAGAATACCTGTATAGGTTTTCAGTATACAGTAGTTTACTTTTAACAAAAATCGTCAATATGGCATTTAAAATATGCGGCAAATTTAGACAAAAACTAAATTATAACTCCAAACATTTAGGGTTTGTAAAAAATCCATTTTATAGAGCTTGTAGAACAGACAGCTGTGCACACTATGTAAAAATGGTGAGAATCGGTCAGAAACTGGATTCTTTTATTTGACTCGAAGTTTAAATTCTAGTTATAGATGTAATTGAAGTTAAAGTTATCAACAATAAATAAGGTAGTTCTAATTCATTAATTTACTTGTATGTTGTAATAAACATTGTTTGGCATTTGTACTCGAATATGTGAAAGTTGTAGGTCAATATGTGTTGAAATGAAGTCAAGACAAAATAATGCCCCCCCCCCCTCCAAAAAAAAAATATATATATAGATATTTATAATTGTACAGTAATGATTTAGGGGATATATTTAGTGTATAATTTATATAAGTGAAAAATCCCTAATCTGGTCCCTAATCATCAAAACAACCTAGAAAGACAAAGAAAATAGAGTTTAAAATCTGTGAAAAAATCAGCCAAAACAAATTCAAAGTCCCAAGTTCTGCGAGTTGTAACTGATTTATTTGTTGACCAATTTCATTCTATCTTGACATAGTTAGGTATGGGTATGCGCTCTCCAGGATGTAAAGGTTACAACACAATCAGATAATAAACAAAGGCAAAGAAAACTAAAAACAAAAAAAATATTATTTCCCCTAACAAAATATTTTTTGGACATTGATGAAAGTAACAGATATTAACATTGGGCAATGTATTTATATGATATATAACAAAATAGAGCATAATAACATACTCATTATTATTTGTTGTGTTATGTATTACTCAGCAATGCTATAAAAGCACGAGCTGCATATCCACTTTGTGGACACTTCTTACTACTATTCTTCTTCATTGTGCATCGGACAGGTGCTTGCATCTCTCTATTACTGTATTATCCATCAGTTCCAGTTAATAGGAGCTGTTCTCCTTAACAAAACATTCTTGTTTTTAAAAAAAAAAATTGTCTAAAATCAATTTCTGAAAATATTTTGATGAAACTTCCACGACACTGAAGCCAATAAGTTGGAAATTTGTTTAACATTTTTAAGTAATTTTTACATAATTTGAATATTTTTCGCTTCCCAGGCCCCTGTTTTGTGCCATTTAAGGGTTAAAGCTAAAATGTTGTGTTTTGTACTACTGTTAAGCTATTTAACAAAAATTATGTTTATTTATGTTTTTGTCATGGCCTTAATACATATGCTTATTGTTTTTGGTTCTAACTGGCTTTTTACTTTTTTTTTTTTTTGGTATATTGTGGAACATGAAATTATGACTGTGCATCGGAACATTATCCTACTTATTTACAAGAATATTAATTATGTGGACTCTGGGGCATCAGGTTATTTGTGGTTTTCTGCTAAAAATCCTCCAAACATTTAGGATCATGCAAAAGGGCTCAGAGGCTCAGCATGGGGACTACAAAGAAACTCTGTATCTAAGAGAGAAGAGTCAGATTTAAAGAAAGTTAATCAGCAGATTAGGAAAGAATTTTCGCATGGATTGTACCATAATGACTCGGAACGATTCACCTTTTCCTGTTACGCTGTGACCAGTGTGAGCCACAAGGGTCATGCCAAAATGAAGTTTCTAAACCAGGGTTGGTGCACTGTGCATGGGGTGCTGGTGTTGACACTACCTACTGTTCACAACTTACATTCCTTGGTACAATAGCTGTAATATAAGTCATTAAATGCACTCTGTTTTCATTTAAATTCACTGTATTGGCTTCTGCAGACTTTCTAATGAGCTTTCTTGCTTCAATCTTATTATATGTTAGAATATTAAGTGTTTTGCACTTTACCAGTAATCCTTTAGTTAATAAAATGTAGAGATAGATGGTTTTGCTGTTCAGTAATGCATTTGGAAAAAGGTTTATAAATTAGAGAAGCTATATTAATGACTAACTGCAATCAGATGTGTGTAACTAATATCCAAATCTAATTTTGGATTAGTATGCAAAATTTACACAGACATACAGTAGAAAAAGTAATTTAAGACTTTATTAACATAACCCTTTTAAATATGTATGTACTAATGTATGTTTGTTTCCCACAATGAATGTAGCAGTGTTTAGATTAGTTTCAGATGTTGGTTATTCTCCCTCAAAGAAACACATGTTGTAGTTGTTTATTATTTGCTTTTATCACTTGGTATTTAAATTTATATATTTTCTGTAATACCAACATAATTGCTCTTTTAATTGATCACAATGTATAAATAAATATTTGATTTGGATCAACAGCACAGGAGTGAATCCATTTTTTTCATATTTAAATTATCATAATACAGCATGAGCAAAAAACAAAAAATATATTTTGTGCCCTGTACCTGAAAGATATAATCTTTCCCACCAAAAACAGTAGCATATATTTTGCGCTTTTACCAGATCTCAGCCTACGCTACACTTCCAAGAGCCGCCAGCAAAAGGACAGTCACGAAAAAGAGGCAAGTCTGAAAATCGACCCAGACCAAAATCAATGGTGAGTATTTGTATAGAATATTTTATGTTGATGTGTTTAAATGAACAAATCCACAAGGACCGTGACGAAGTTCGAATCCTCGTCACGGCCCTTGTGGATTTGTTCATTTGATGCATCACGATATTATGATTTCTGTGTGTAATTGATGTGTTTACATTTGACTTTATGCTTCATTATTGTCCCAGTAGTACAGTCAGGTTCATTCCCGACTAGCAACGGGACTTCCAGGTTAGAATCCCAGTCGAGATAGATATAGTTGGGCACATTTTCTACTACCTAATGCTCCTGCTCACCTAGCAGTTACTAGGTACCCAGGAGCTAGTCAGCTTGTGGGATTACATCCTAGGGAGGTCAGTAATTTGACCTTTTGGGTAGCCTTGATATAAGTCTAACATATATACTGTATGTTGACTAGCTGCCTGTCCCACAACACAATGAATTATCACTTGCCTGACCTGGTGCGTGATCCCCAGCACACCCCATGGTCGGCTGAGTATTTCCCTTTCATTTTAGTATCAAATTGTTCCCAATAGAATTCTCTAAAGGAATATATGCATATAAGGTTAAAAAACCATCACGCCACCCACAGCAAACCTGAAAATCGACTGAGCGATACCCATGAGCGGGCACCAATCCGCACATCCCCAACACCCGGACTCAAATGTTTATACAGTATTCTTCATTTTCTCACCTCAATTTTCGTGTCGAGTCGCTCATTTTGGTATCAATTTGTTCTCAATAGAATGCTCTAAAAGGATATACTATATGCATATATATAAGGGCAAAAGGAAGAAGAACATTACCAGTACCATAAGAATAAAGTACATTGTCATGTTAAAGAAACTGCTTCTCATCATTATTTATACTCGTTATTCGTTCCCCACATTATTTGTTACACTATTTCATTCATTTTTGTCTTGCTTCCTTCACATAAGTGTTCGTACCACAATATCATATGCATAAAAAATGAATAAACATGTCTGTACTTACTACCCAATGATGTTTGCAGAACATGAGTTAAGCATTAAGTTGAACCACTCCACCTGCTCCATGAAAATGTTTCCTGAAGTTTCTCGACCCATGTTTTATAGGTGGAGTGAATGATGGGTAAGCATTACTGCTTATCCACCACCCAGTATGTCCTCTTGCAATGGTACAAGCCAGAGTATGGTGCAGCACACAGTGGTGCCACACCACACGACTTGCACTTATTCCTGCTGTCCTTCCTTTTACCAGACTTGTAGCAGACATGACACTTCAGACCTTTCTCAAAGCGCATTAGGGAATGGTTCAAGTTTCTGTTCAGACGTTCAGGTTTATCCATAATATGAAGTTTTCTCCAAGCAACAGCACTACTAGGAGTTGTCTGAACCTTGTCTTCCGTGTCAAATGATTCTTCATTTTGAGGTGACGAAAGGAAGAGTGGCTGCCTTACACTTGATGATCCGGGGGCTGCAACATTGTTGCCAGTAAAAATGCTCTCATCGTCATGTACATCAACAGCATGTATGATGTTATTTTGGAAAGGTCAATTCTTATACTCAAGGTTCAACAGTGACCAAATTATGGAACTGGACCAATGAGAGTTTGCTTCAAACGTGTTAATTTCCCTGCTTTTGTCATGGATTGGCTCTGTTCTTGACCACTATCCATCATGGAGTAAATGTAGAGTGTTTATAAAGGCACAAACAAATATAGCTGAGTAAAGATAACCGGAACGAGGACACTTTTTTTCGCAAGGGGAGGCCACAGCTGTCACGAGTGTGAACATAATAACAATGGGTCTACTGCATGGGTGGCAGTGCCGTGATGCCACATAGGGCATCACAGAAAATGGGAAGACATTGGCACTTTTTAAAACAAGTCCCATAATGAAAGAAAAAAGAACGGATTTTTAACAAATATTTTAATTTTGGACACAGCATTCGTCCTCACACAAACTGAGTACATTCATACACAGACGCATTATGCGTTATCGGTCAGACAAAGTGTTAATAGAGTATTATTGTAATTATATATTAGTGTATATGCTTGGTGTGGTTGTGAATTAGAATTTTGGAACTGTTACATAATTCAAAACAACTGGTATGTGTGGTATGATGATTAAAAAATATCATTGCAATGTCCTTTCTTATTTTGGTTTCTAAGGTTATCAATTTTCAAGATAATCTTCAAAATAAAAGTAGGGAACTACATATGTTCCATGCATTATTTACTCTACTAAAATCTTCAACATTTTTTTATGATGTATTATTGATTTTAGGAGAATTTAAACATTGAAATGGTCTTGTCAGAATTAATACTTCTATCTGGCCTAGAAGAATAGAGCATACTCAGTTATACATATCTCATGATTACTCATTTCATTTTTGGTTGCTCACTTCAGATTAATGCAGCAGATGTGACTCGGGGTGCAGAGTGGGCTCGTGCTCAGCGAGTTGGGTCCACAGTCTCACTTAATACAGAGCTAGAGTTATCCGAGTCATCGTCTCACTCTTCTTTAGCATCAATTGCCTCTTCTTCTCAAGGACAGCATTCAGTTAGACCAAAGACTCGAACAGGCTCCATGCGCAGACCAAGAGTTAACTCTCAAGGTAGAAAAGTGACAGGAACAATATCACGGTCTTCATCTCGTTCCACCACAAATGTTGTTAAAGCAGTTTCCTTGGAGGCTGGTTCTGAATCAGAGTAATGAAAATAAAAGACAATTCAAAGGTTGCAATTGTTAATGTGATTAATATGTCTTAAATGGTGTTATGGACTGTGATTTAGCAGCTTATGGAGATTATTGCATATCTGTGCAAAGTCTTAGATGCCAGATTTGCAGGTGATATATAACTGGAATATTTTTTTGTATTCTTTTCAATAGGAAGAGAGTAATGATTTAGTTTTAGAAATGCTTTAAATTTCAGCTTCCTTTGAAAAGTATGACTGTAATTGCACTGTATATTTTATACAAGATTTATTACATATGGATAAGACAAGTATTACATGAAGATATTTCAACAGCTTGTTTCATCATAGTAACCAAAACAGTGTGGTTCGTAAGGAAGACTATAATTGCTCTGTAATTATATGTTGGCAGTGAAAACACTTATGTGGATTATACATTATATTCCTTTAAGCATTTGTGTTTCTTGCTTCTTAATACAAAAAGCATTAATGACATTATCTGTAAAAGAAACACCATAGTCACTTTTCTAAATGTTTTATCCATTACTCTCTCCAATGCTTGTCATTTTAATGCACTGTGTATCATGCTCAGTTGATCAGTGTGTGCACAAAATACAATCTCTCTCTTGTACACTTCTTGCTTGATGTATCACTTACGAGGATTTGTGGTCTTCCTATTTGGACAGTGTTCAGCATTAATGCATGTGCATTTTATAATACACGTATATATACATGTATACATGATTTTTTATTTTTTTTATACCGAGAAGCGTGATTAAATTGTTTTGTAAAAATGTCAAGCAATTCAACACAATATTATTTAAGGTTTGACAGTTCCTTGTGCATGACATACTGATTGGGTCAAATTCATCCTTTAAAATATCTTCATATTTATTGAACCATTTTCTAAATGTAGATGGTGTTAGAGAGAGAAGTGTACTAAAAGTTAATTCACAATTAATCAAGCGCAGTTGTTGCACATTGGTATTATTGCTTTGCATTATTCATAACATTTTGCATAAGAAAAAATGAGATTGTTAATAATGTGGGTGCATTTGTATATATGATATTGTTACAGCACCATCAACAAAGATACTCATTGTGGATCCATTATTTACCAGATTTTGAATTCATTAAACAGGAGCTTTAAGTACGGTAGATAATCAACAGTGAAGACAGGAAATATATGATATTATGCTACTGTTTATTTATAAATAGGATTGCTAGCAGTGTTATCAGGAACAACTCTTTGGAGGCTTCAAGGTGATTGATATGCATGATAATAGTAAAATTACTACACACAAATGTTTGGACAAGTCACACATTAGTGTATTGGTGTAGTGATGTAGTTGTCCTAATACCCTGCTCATCTAGGCTTGGCAGATCAAATTCGCAAGTTTTCCTTGGTTCAGTAATCTTTAATCAAAAGTATTTTGTACTTAAGTATACAGATCATCACAATATTTCAAAAGAAGGCAAGAGTCCGGACCAAGGAAAGCTTCTTGCTTGAAAATAGAGAGTATCCTCTACCTCGATTGAGCAGCATTCTCACTTTCTAAGTAGCTTCAAAGTAGAAGTTGTTTAGAATAAAATTCTAAGAATATCTTTTTTTTATACTTTGATGTTTTTATCATAAAAGCTCAAACTGTAATGTCAATTATTAATCTCTTTAAAAAAAATTTATTTACAATTACAAAAACAAATATCAAGACATTCGAATCCAGATGACCACTTAAGAGCTATAGGGGTTTATGTGCCATTGCTGTCACTGTTATGAAAATGAGGTGTTAATTTTGCCTCATTTATTAAAGAAATGGTGTTTTAAGTTTCCAGTTATGACATGTATATTGAACAATGTTGTGAAGTCGGATTTTTATTATGGGAATTTCCAGTCCCCTTATAGTTGTAAAGAATACAGTATATTGTAACCTCATTTTATGTTATGTCGGAATGATTGTTTTAACGTAAATAAAGAATGAAAGATTAAGTATATTTATCCCATTCCTAATAGTGTGAGTAGAAATCATTATATAGTAGAGGCTGGTTTAACATTATTTATTACCTGTGAAAAAGATTTATGTAATTCAAACTTCAGTAGATGGTGGTGCTTTATGAATGGGAAAAATTCAGAGTTATTCCAACCATCATCGGAAAGCATGTGTAGTGTTAGGAGAATAGATGCAGTAAAAAACTATAATAAGGAAAGACTTATTATGTCTTTAGTCTTGCAGTTTATGTGCAAAAGTACATAAACTGCAAGATTGTGCTGAATGTTCTAAGCTGTTTGACATGGTTAAGAAGTGGGTGATGGTGAGCTGGTGAAGAGAGTGCTCAAAAAAACTTCAAGGTAGGTGGAAAAGACCAGAAAGAAGGTTGGTAGACATGGTGAGTGTGAACAATGCACAGAATATGTTATCTGTACAAGATTTTAATCTCCCCTGGTGCGAACAGCTATGCACTCTTGAATAGTAGTCACTTCCCGAGTCATAACTAACTGTGAGTATCTAGCATCAATTTTTTGTTGTTACCATTATGGAATTTTCTGGGGGAGCCCCGTTGAGTCCCCGGAGCTATCCAGGCTGAATGGATATGTATCTTTCTGGCATCAGTCAATGCATGAAGTTCTTGCCTACTGGGGACCACGAGCCAGAACCTGCCCCCCCCCCCCCCTCTAGAGAAGCACGAGGAGCAATGGCCTAAAATGACCCCCCTGTGGTTGGGAGCATTCTATGTTTGCCATCGACCAGGATAGGCACCCAGAAAGGTAGGCGCCCCAAAACAAACCCCTATTCTGGTAAAAGTATTGCGAACAAAAACCGAACAGGTGGACAAAACTCCCCAAACGAAAATTAGCAAACTATCATAACGTCATCACGTCACCGCACCGCTGTCTGCGCAACACCCCCCTCCCAGGGAGGGGGAAGGGGGAGCCCTAGACCCACTCACCGGCGACCCAATCTACATTTCTTAGGCTGATGGGAGTCTGGTGCAGTCGTGCCTCAGTTTTACATTTCAGTTTTGTGCCTTGTGGTGTGGACTGACCCTTCAGGTGGTCTGTGAGCCGGGAATGAGATTCTATGGTACTTGGGCTGCATGCGCCTAGGGTCACCTACCCTTGGTGCCCTGTAAGTACTACCCTTGGGGCTTGTGGCCTCCTTCCACAAGTCACCTCTGGGTCTACCTCTGCCTTGCCATTTAATGCTCGGGTTTTGGCCACCCTTGGAGTTAGCTGGGGGGTTTTCTTGCCCTTGTTTGTCTCTGGGTGGGGGGTAGTTTTCGTCACTGGCAGGGGCTCGGGGTACTGCACAGCTAGTTTTCACCTATAACAGTGGCCAGCTCTGTTCCGCCTGGGTACATTGTCCTCTTGCAGGATTTTCTTTTGTTTTTGTTTTTCTGCCTGGTGGGGGTCCACCATCACTGTTTTTGGGGGTTTATATATTTCTCACTCTGTTGGTGGTCCTCCCCGCTTGGCCCCTGTGAGTGTACATGTCCCAGGAGTTCAACTTTAGAGGTTTGGTAGACTTGGGTGCCAGTTCACAGTACCCTGCCTGGGCTTCCCTTAGCGTGTACTCAAGGCTAAGGGCCCTGGAAAACCACACAGGGGCTACGTTCTCCAATGGATGTGACCCCTGAGTCCCCCCTTGCATCTTGCGAGTTTGAAGGTTGCTCTGTTCCCTTGTCTCTGGGTGACACCGGTTTTGCCTCCACCATGCTGCCTGTTGGGTTGGTGATTGTTTTGACTCGGAGTCGTGTGACGTGTGTTGTTTGTATGTACTCCAGTTCACTCAAGCCTCTGATAATGATATGCGGATGCAGGCAGCTAGGGCGTTGCATGCTAGGTTTAGGCTGGTGCAACGCGCTCGGTTGGTTGCAACCCCGGATGCCCCGAGACTGCCCTGTTTTGGTTATAGTGGACCCAGACTTGGGGGTGGGGGTCACTTCGACTCTGGTTCCGTCCGCCCCTTCTGTTGTTCATTCGGTCCCCTCCACCTCCCTTGCTTCCGGCTCTGAAGTGTCTGAGGGTTTCGGAGTCGAGGCATGGTCTTGTTGGTGTTGAGACTCTGGCGGTCTCGGGGGGAATTCGGGTTGCGGCGGAGGCATTCGAGCCTGGTCCTTCTGCCGGAGCTTCTGGGTCTGGCCAGTGGGCCCCCTTCGTTCCTGCTTTTTCAGCAGCTCCCGCCTTTTCTTTGGAGGCCGGCTTGGCCACGTGTTCTCAGGACGAGGTTCCCGGGGTTGGCTTGGGGGCCTTGGGCCCCGTTGGACCCCGCCTGGGTTTTTCTGCCCTCCAAGCGGGGTTGGTATTACAAGGAGAGGGGTTCTCTTTCGCTCCCTCTGCATACGAATTGGATTTGGTGTCCGCTCCTCCCCGGGTTCGGTTCCGTGATCCCGCGGGTTCTTCGCGTCCGTCCATCTGGAGGGTTTCCGGCTTCCCGAGCCTCGTCTTCTGAGGTGCGGGAAGCCTTGGCGGCTTACCTCCTACGCAACCCAGATTATGCCTTCATGATGGATCTGCTGATTCGTTCTGGGTTCGTTATGAAGTTCCGGAGTCATCCTGGATGGCAGCCTGTCCTCTTTTTTTTTGTTGGAGGCTTGGCACACATTCTGTCGGTCCCGCGAGCTTGAGTGACGAGACACTCAGTCGGCATTTCAGGTTTTTCTGGAGGGCGCCTTCGACCATCTCAATGCTTGTTTGTTTGCCCATCTCCTTCCGCGGGATGTTGGTGTCATGCAGCTTCACGTGCAGGTTCCTTCCCTTTCGGCTGCCTTGGTGGTGGAGGATTTGCGTACTCGTGGCCTGCTTGCCTCGGCCCTGTGTTTCTTTTCCCTACTTGAGCTGTCCTCAGACTCACTTGAGTTGGATGTGAGGGTGCTTGGGGCCGCTGCCGGGTCCGTGGTGCGGGCGTCGTCTGCTTTGTTGAAGCTCTTTGCGCCGCTCGTGCGTTATGCGGTTTCGTGGTTCTATGCTTCTCGCCTCGCGCGTCAGCAGGTGGTGATGGCTTCTTCTTTAGAATCCACTTGAGCCCCTGGCTCTTTAGTTGTCTTCTCCTTTTTGCCCGTTGCTGTTTGCTGAGTCTGCTGTGGTGCAGTACCTGCAGGCGGCCTCGGTTAGTTGTCGGGCTATGTCTGAGTTGTTGTTTCAGGGGGCTCGTGGGGGGCCTTCCTGGAAAGGTCGTGCCAGGGCTCGGGGTTCTTTTTGTCGTGGTAGGCCATTGGTGCCAGATTCGGGGCAGGCGCAACCTCCGGTTCCGGCTGTTTCTGGTCGGTGATCGCCCTGTTCGCTGCTTAGGTTCTGGTTCTGGCCTACTTCGACGACTGGCTGGCTTGGGCTCCCAGCCAGTCCGCGTGTCTGCTCACCAGGGATTTGGTTCTTTCCCAGCTGGCCGGGTTTGGGTTCTTGGTGAACTGGAGGAAGTCCCCTCTGTTTCCCTCTCAGGTTCGGTCTTGGCTGGGTTTGGTTTGGGACGCTCGCACCGCTTCCTTGTCTCTGCCTCCGGCGACTCTGCTTCGCCTGCAGTCCCACCTTTGTCTGTTTCTGAGGGGTTCCCGGGTCATGCAGCAGCTGCTCGGGAGTTTGTGTGAGACCCTGAACTTTGCCGTGATGGTCTACTGCCGGGTCGGGTGTGGCTTCACCGGCTCTTCTGGTTCCTTCAGGGACGTACGTCCCTTCCGCCTCTCTCTCGCGACCGTTTGGTTCTGCCAACAAGAGCTTTGCGACGGTTGCTGCATCGCTCGCTTCCTTTTTTTTTTCGGGGTTCAGTGCCTTGGCGCCTACCCGAGCCCTTGCTCGATGTGTTCATAGACGCGTTGTCTCTTGGCTGGGGCTTTGTGACCAGTGCTCACAAGTCCGGCCAGGGGCAGTGCAGTCCATCCTTCCATCGGGCTCACAGCACAGTCAGGGAGTTTGCGGCAATGTGGATGTCGTTCCGGAGGGTTTGAGTCGCTCACTGATCGACGATCCGGCTACATTCAGACTGCTCCCCGGTGGTTCCTTGCCTGAACCAAAGGGGGTTTGATGCGATACTTGGCTCTTTATTTAGGGCTGGTCGCTTCGGGAGACTCGTCTGCTGAGCTCTCGGGGTTTGACTCTCCTGGCGGTTCACGTCCGGGGATTGTCCAATGTCCTGGCAGACTGCCTGTCTCGTTTCCTTCCTCTTTCCACGGAATGGACAGTCAATGCCAACTCTTTTCATTGGCTGTGCCAGATGTTCGGGACTCCGGACGTGGCTCTCTCTGTGTCGGCATGGTCGAGACGTCTCCCGGTATACGTGGCGCCCTTCCCCAACTGTGAGGCCGTCGGGGTCAATGCCTTCAGGCAGGACTGGGCGAGGTGGGTTAGCTATACCTCTTTCCCCCGGTTCAGCTGTTCCAGGTCCTGGCTCACTTGGAGACTTACTAGGGAAGAGTTATCCTTCTGGCTCCTTGGTGGCCGGCCTGGCCTTGGTTTCATGTTTGCTTGGTGTCCGAACCCGAGGGTCTTCTCGCAGCCCTGCGTTTTTCAGCGGATCGGTCCAGCCCAGTACGAGGCTGGTTCGGTCTTCTCCTCGAGTCTTTGCATCTAGAGTTTTTGACTCGGGTTTATTATCACTTGTATGGTGTGCAGGTGGCTTCGTTGTTGGTTTCCCACCTGTGTGCTTCGTCTCGGCAACAGTATGAAGTTTCCTTGCGGTCCTTCCGGTTCTTCCTATCACTGTTGTTCTGTCCTTTCTCTCTTGGTTGTTCGAGGACCATCATCTTATGCCGAATACTGTTGCCTCGTATCATGCGGAGCTGGCGAAGCCGCTTTAGTTTGCTTTCGGTGTTAATGTTACTTCTGCCCCGTTCCGCAAGCTGTCTTGAGCGTTGTTTCACCTCCGGCCTGCTCATGCGCCTCCTGAGCCGTCCTGGTCTCATTTCTCTTTTCTCCTCGGTTTGTTGTGGCCCCTTCTGTTCGGGATTATTTTTCTAAAGCTCTTTTTCCCATTGGCATTGGCCTCTGGGGGTCAGGTC